GCTGTTGAGGTTGAGCTGCAGACCTCTCATTTGGGTTAGCAGCCCAATGCCACCAGGGCTCCTTAAACACATAGGGAATTCTTACTTTTCTGTTGGCCTGAAGAGATAGCAAGACTGCCTCTCTACTCAGCACAGTGTCACCGTAAACTGTCATGGGAACGCCCTGCTTACTGCCCCTTTCATGATGGCCCTGTAAGCTCAGTACTTGAAGCGTGCACTCTCCAATGAGACAGTTACCCAATAAATGCACCAGACCCCATAGGAAGGAAGTTAAGGGGGAGGGAAGAGATCTTCCCTAAGCAAGTTAAAGCAATGGAAACACTAAGGCCCCTAATGAGTAGGGAGGGACATAGAACACGTGAGCTATTAACAGTATGAGAACTACTGTTTAACAAAGAACCCTTTACCAAACAAACCCAAAGCCTTCTCTCAGTAGCAGTCAAGAGTGGGAACCCACTCTGATCAGCCATGAGTCATGAGCTGCCTTAACAATTCATCTACAGGAGACCAAGTGGTCAACACTTAGCTTTCAACCGGTAAGAGGTAAGGAGGCAGGGAGAGTTGTGGCAGAAATGGCCAACTCTAGAACGGAATGCATGAGAGTGATGACACACTGTGACAAGGGGCACCAATAATATGGAATAAACCATTTGTTATGTGTCCTTTCATTTTAAACGCAATTACAAAATTTTAATTCCATTTTGACACATCTTGAGCTAACAGGACACACAGGGTTCTGTTATAAAGAGAACTTTCCAAATCCTTAAGTCAGGACACACTGTATGCCACCACGAGAATGTTTCCCTGTGCAAGGTGGTGTGTGCGAGAAACACATACATAGCCACCACCTACAAACTAAGAACACAATAGTACAAGCAGCACTTTTGTCTTCAAAAGAAGAAAACATTTTTGCGAGCTAGAGGGAAATATGCTTTAGTATCAGGTTGTAATCACTAAGAACACTGGCACTTGGACAGAAGGTGCAGAGGCCTACCTAAATTGATGATATTCTGAGCCCAGAAACTAGGATCACAGTGAAACTGGATGGTGTTGTTGGCCGCCGGCGAAGCATCACACCTTGCCCGGAGGAGGTGCCGTAACCGGTAGGTGATCTAGAAGGCAGGCAGACCAGGAGCATTAGCAGATCACTCAATGTGCCTCCAACACACACACATACACACACACACCAAGGGCTCCAGCAGACACACCCCCTCACGACAGACAATCACACAAGGTTTTGAAAAGTGGACAATGCGATTTCTCTATCCCAAAAGTTTTGGGCTATTACTTCAGCTATACCATTGAATACAAACAAAAACTACCTTAGAGAGAACCAGGCTGAAGCCAGCATTTTGAATTGCTAATAGAACATCACAGAAGTACCAACTCAAACATTTGTTAAAAAGAAAAAGAAAACACCCTCTCTTTATTTACCCTTTAAAGGAAGGATGCAGGATTTAGTTAGATGAAGGGTAGTGGGTCACAGAACACAAATCAAGGCCTGTGCTCGGCTGATGGTGCCCTGGCCGTGCAGTACACAGGCAGGCGATCACACCGTGGTCAGAGGCCTGAGTTTGGATGTGAGGTCTGCAGGGCTAGAGAATGGCTCACTCAGGAGGGAGGCCCACGAAGGTTTGTTAGGTGAGAAGACAGGAGAGGGGATAGAAGCCCTTTCCTGACCATCCCTTACTAGATCCCCAGCCAATGGTAGTACAGAAAACCCTACTTTGCTGCTAGTCAAGAGAAAACCTGTGTTACTTTCTTTCTTACCCGCTCTCAATGTTTTCCTTGCTTTCTGTTTAAGTAACACTAAGGTAAATTCGGCATCTAACAAATGGCAGCACGCTAAATAAGTGCTGTGAAGCCGCACTATTTCAAAGATGGGATTCTGCAGGTTCACTGGGTGTGAACTTTCAATTATAAGTCCTAAACTTTAAAGATATAAAATCCCTTACATCCCTGACTGGTCAACCTGAGCGAGCAAAGGTGTATTTACAAAGAATAAGAACTCTTAAAGAGCAAGTTTTCCAATTTTCTGAAGTTGGAAAAGCCCTTCCTTCAAAGTGCTTTTAGTGTAACCACTAACTTAAGCAATTTACAAACAGCTGGGAAATCTTTCACTCTAGGTGCTGACTCAGGGATCTTTATATTGAGAAAAAGGATTTATTTTGTCAATAATCCAGAATCTAGTGCTAGTGATTCTGATTCACTGTGCAGATCGTGTCTGTGTAATACAGAGAGGGCGCTCCAAGATCAAGGAATGGAATTAGAGAAGGCTCGAAGCTCAGAGGTGACTGCGCCCTTATCTGATTGTGGGAACATGCTGGCTTACATACACGACTACAAACACTCATTGTTAAGTCTGTTGAAAAATAAAAATCTGTCTTCCTCTAGCCACTTTGATTTTTAGAAAAATGTAGGCAATGGAGTTGGTATTTGTTACCCAAATATTTTTCATTATGCCCAATAAGAGCAGAAGCAAAACCAAGTCACTCGGCTGAAAGACTACATTCTAAAAAACAATGAAAGAATACATCACCACCACCACCACCACCCAAAATAAATACAAAACCCTAAAAGTTGAATGTAATTCAGGATTCTCAGGATTAGGAGGTTGTGGGAATACAATTGGCACATCATAGCTACAGGTTCTCCATCCTGGGCTAGCTATTTGCCAACAATTTAAAATACTGGAGGAGGGCAGAGAGCACGTAAGCTCTGACACTACTGGGTATCAGGTAATCTGGAGGTGATTAAAAAATGGGAGGATGAGGAAAGGTTGTAAGGAAATTTGATGCTGTTACACATATGGGGCCCATGTATCCCGGTATCTGGCATCTCCTGGACCATTACCCTTGGATAACAAGGGATGGTGGTGGTTACCTATCAATATTCTACATCATGCATTACTGACTTTCAAAGGCTTATCCAGAACTACAGTCCCTGATTTAGAAGATGGTCACAGGACATTTGATTCCACAAACCCCGGTGGGTATCAGAATGTAGCTACCCTGAGTTACTTCAAAATAGAAATCTTTGCTCCATCTTTAATAAAATGGAAGCAGGGTGGGAAAATGGCCTAACCTTCTTCTTGGTCCTGGCCACACAAATGCTGCCAAACAGGCCAGCAGCAACATCTGGGAGCTAGTTAGAGGCAGACTCTCAGCCCCTAAGCCCAGAACTCCATAAGCAGGGCCTCAGCTGCCAGCAGCTCACCAAGCCATAGCCAACTTCTCTCTGCAGTACTCCTGCGTCAGTCAGATATGCAGAAGTGACAAGAGACTCCAGTCTGAACGCTAGGTATCCTTCTTCCTGTGTGGCCTGAGGCATGTTACCTCTGTGTCCTCATGTCATCATCTGTAGAGCAGAGGGGACATGTGTCCCGCCCAGAAGACGTAGAGTGTAAACAAAATGCTTAGAATCAGTGCCTGACACACACACAGGTGCTTGGCAATGACGACTTTTGCTATGGTTGTATGCATTTCAATTACCACTGAAACTAAGTGATAGAAACCATGGAGAATAAGACAAGAATAAAAATGACAGAAGACTATGGAAGTTACCTCTATAGCATGTGAGCTAAAGTAGTGTTTTCAGACCACACACACGATTGTGACTCATCTGAACTAGAAACTGCTCAAAGGTGTTCTGCAGGACGCTGGGCACCACACTTACCAGGCGCTTGCTGTACAGCAAGGCGGTGCTACTTCCACTGGACACAGCCCATTTGGAGAAATGCATAACGTGTTCTAACTGCTTAGAAAGCCCAGCCACTTCCTGTTGTTGCTGCATGAGCTTCATGCGATGGTCCTTGGCAAGACTCTGAAAACAAGGAGAAATGCTTAAACTTCATTCCCACCTAGACTATGCACTTTAACGGTTATTTGCAGATTCCAGAATTAAAATTACCACCATCTCTTAAGGATCCTTAGTGGTTTTCCCTCTTCATACAAAGGACCCCACACACTGCCAACCAACTCTGGTCCCACACACCCACTAGCAGCTCCAGCATCAAAGTCTGGTTTGGCATAATCTAGGAAATATGTCTCAGTTAATGCTTGTCCCAATACAAAAGGTAAATGACAGAATAGCCCTAACAGAGCAAATGTGTTACATTCAATACTCACCAAAACAACCATCCCACAACCTAGCAAAGCGCTCAGATCACATGAATCACTCAGCCTCATGGCTTCATAGTACCCAATGTATGCAATCTGTGCTGAAGAGAGAGGATCTTTCCCTTTGATGCAGTAAAAACATGTGCCTGCTACTTCTGTCTATTGAGAATTACCCTGGGCGACAAAAGAGACAGCCAGTATTTGTGCCAGGAGATGCTGAGAAAAGCTTAAGAGCAGACCAGTTTCTCCAGAGCCTAGACTTGTTAGCTGAAGACCCCAGTCAAAACCCTCATCCCCACCAGCCAAGGAGAGGAAGGAGAACAAGGCTGATAGGAGGCTCCAAGAACCTAAGGAAAGTTTTTAAGTAGAATTCTACACCCCATCAAGCACATACACTTCCAATAAAAAGCAAGCCTCGACCCTGACTCTAGTTTCAAATCTGAACACATACTCAGAGTAAGAGGAGGACAAGGTCAAATGAAGAGGCAGCAGGAAACAAGTGGCTCTGTAGTAATCTCATTTCTGTTCAGAGAAGGTGCCTCTCGCCTCAGGCTCTTTCTGGCGCCTGCCAATCATTGAGTGCTGAAAAAGGCACATGATTCAAACACCTGATGTTCTCAAGAAGACTACACAATAGAGACAGTGCAAGGATCAGTGGTGGCCTGGGATCTGGGAAGGAGGGTGCACAGGTGGAACACAGGGCATTTTAAGGGCAGTTAATTCTGCACGACACTCTGATTCTGGGCACATGACTTGTATTTGTCAAAACCCACAGAAATATACGACTTAGAGAGTGAGCGATTCATGTGTGTACTGGATGCACCTCATGGCTGCGGGGTGACAGAGAGACGGAGTGCAGCCAAGGCAGTCGTGGCTGCGCTCTGGACCTTGTGCACCCCCAGTGGCTACACAGCCCATCCAGTGAACGGCTGTGTACCGCCTCAGAAGCATAGTCTGACTTGTATCTGTTGAAGCCCAGCCTTGGATTGCTTTGAAATGTCTGCCACAGCTGGTGCCGTGTAAGTGTTGTATAGCAACCAGAAACCTTGTGGGGAATCGTATGAAAACAGGCAAGGGGGTCCTGGTGGCACAGTGGGTGGAGTGCTCGGCTTACTGACACATTGAGTGGTTCTGCTGCTTTTAAAAATGACAGCTTTAGTCATGTTAAAATTTAACACCATCATTTGCTCTCCCTTTATGACCCACTTAAATTTTAGTTTTTAGTAATTTTTTTTCTTTTTGACTTGAGGTTTCTGTTTTACTTTGTTATGGTTGTCAGTTTTTATTTTATTTTTCTGTATATGAAATTCAGGTTAGTTAAACCTACAGAGACAGTAACTGGATTAATGGTTCCTTAGGAGGACGGCACGGAGCTAGAGGGGAATAGAAGAGCTAATATGAGCACAAGAAAGAAGAAAATGTTCTAAAACTGATTATAGCGATGATTATATGACTCTTGATGTGACTGAACTACTGAATTGTATGATATGTGAATTATATGCTAATAAAATTTGGGGAGGACAAAACAGACAGCTTTAGAAGCCCTATGAAGCAATTTTACTCTGCCTTACAGGGTCACAATGAGTCAAATTCTATGTGCTGGCAGTGTGTGTATTTGTTGTGTTTTAATTTTGGGAAGCAAGACAGCAGCACCTTGTTCTAATGTAGCAGCTAATTGTGCAGCTGCCACTTTGAGCACAGCACCACTGACCGAACAGAACCTCCCTTGTGGTTTTGGAGACTTAACTCTTTACATAAGCAGAAAGTCTCATCTTTCTCCTGAGGATAGACTGGTTTTTGAACTAATGACCTGGCGGTTAGTGGCCCAACATAGAACCCACGAAGTCAAAAGCCTTCCACGGACGACTGCTGTGCAACACCTACAACCGGGTGGCCGTGACTGAGCCTTCCGAACCAGATCAGAGACAGGAAACTAAACATTAGTGCTGCTAGCCACACCAACACAAATCAGCTAAAGGAATGAAAAAATACACTCCACCCCCCCATAATAAAGTGCTTCTTTGGAAATGGTGTAGAAAAGACAGAAATTCTTTGGGGAGGTTACAAATTGAGAATCTTGCTCTGCTCTGCTAAAATTTTTTTAAGTGATTTCCCACAAGTCTTAGCAGGTAAAAAGGGTTACGTGTAGAAGTCCATGATACTGAGGGCACTATTTACCACCACAAAAAGGCAGAAGCCTGAAATACTGTTACTGTAACTAGGGTGGGGGAACAAAGGCTGCTTCTACCAGCAAGGTGCAGAGTGACCTCTGCCTGCAGGGGTTTGGGTGGAAGCACAGCTTTCTGACAGAGAACTCACACACAACAATGGTCGAACTGCACTATTTCTAAGAGCCATACACTAAACGTCATTGCTCTTAGGAGCCTCTGAGTGGTTACAACTCATAGCGGGCCTGTGCACAACAGAAGGATATACTGCCTGGTCTGGGGCCATCCGCACAATTGTTTCTATACCTGAGCCCTTGTTGCAGCCACTGTTGTCGGTGCAGATTCTAACTTTGGATCTGGACCTTGATATATTTCAAAAGCTGATGAAGACACAGATGTGTTGAGCCAACAGTGAGCGACAGCTCTCCTGCTGAGCCTCTACAGCTTAACAGTTAACTAGCACCTGTTGAGGACAAGCGCTGTCTCCTTTTACCTAAGTGTACCCAGACAGCAGAGGATCACTACTACTGTTCCACTCCACAGGAATGGGTGTGTTGCAAATAAAACAGGTTTAAACTAGTTTCTGAGATTAATGCACACATGCAGACACCTTCCTTCAGAAAACCTCGTCTTGGTCTTGTTAAAATGCCTTCAAAACCAAGGGGAAGTAAAACAGTTGCTTCCAAAGGGATCTGATGGGCCAGCTCAGTTCAAGGCGGAAATGTCAGCTCTAAAGGTGATGCTGATTCCTTCCTTGGGGATTCCAAAGGTATCAACTTGACATTTTCTCAGAGGAACAGGATGATTGTGGGGCTCTCAAAAGGAAGAAGTTTTCAAAAAACTAAAAATGAGATTGATGAGGAAAAGTCTAGGAAAGTTGTGCCAAGGAATTTTGCCCCCATCACAATACACCCACTCATTGGGTGAGGGTAGCAGAGCTGCCCTAAGAGAATTTCAGTGCACGCCCTTTCCCCATCTACCCTACAACCCTCATCTTGCCCCTCCAGCTTAGTTTGGGTCTCACACCCAAAGCCTATTCTGAAAGGAGAACGAACAGACTCCCTAGAGGTGGTCCAACTGCCTTTCTGATGTAGTCTATATTGGAGCCCAAAACTCTTCAGGGAAGGTTGGAGAGATGAAAACCCCATCTTCAGAGATACAGACCTAGATACAGGTTATGTTGACACATTTTGATATTTGTGATTAATAAAATGACTAACCTTTGGACTTACCTGCAATATGATAAATAAATGCAGAGAACTTACCAGGGTATCCTTCTAGAAAATTATCCATAATAACTCCCCCCATTTAGAGTGCAGTGGTCACCTGTTGGGCTGTGATCTATAAGGTCAGCAGTTCAGAACCAGCAGTCCACTCTGAGTGAGAAAGATGGAGCTTTCTACTCCAATAGTTACAGAAACTCAGAGGCAGTTCTACCTGTGCTATAGGGTCACTAGGAGTTAGCATCGACTCGACGGCACTGAGTTTTATTTTGTTTGTTGTGGTGATGACAGAATTGTAACACAGGCCAATGGCTCAAGACAACTTTCCGATCTCCTATTCTGGGGCAGGCATGTGCTATGAGGTGAATGTGAGGAACAAGATGCTCTTAGTGTATTCCAACACCTGGAACTGGAGGAAGAAATGGTACTAAATCATAAACAGGAACCATTACATGGGAAAATGTAAAGGCTTCAAAAGTTACGAGGAGGTTATGAACATTTAAAGGTTTTTAAAGCTCCGTTTTCAGATGCACAACTGCATATGAGAAAGTGCTGTGCTGAAGAGGCCCCGCATGCCAGGAAGGAGCTCACTCACCTCTAGCTGGTGCAGCAGGGCTTTCCCTTTCTTATTTATCTCTACCATCAGCGTGAAGATAGCCACCTTGATGTCCTGCTCCACCTGCTTCTGATTCTGATTTACTTCAAGTATTCTGAAAAATGACAGCAGGAAAAAGACATCCAAATGTAAGGCAGAAAATTTGTTTTATAATATTTAAAATGGACTTCTTAATATGTACATTAGACCCATCAGCAATGCTAATTCTGAACGTCCTTCCATCTAAATGGTAAGACAGACCCAAAAGAACTCTCCTGGAAGACAAAGTCACTAAATTCACACTTCAAATCAGTCTGGGGATTCTTGCAAGAGAATGAATATACTTTTAAGAAATTACAGTGTGATGACATCCAGGAAAATCAATAGTCTCTCTAAAAGGATGAGGTTTGGACTACAAAATAGGCTTTTATGCACAGGAGAAAGAAACTTTTTGTGAACAAGTTCTACTACATTCATTCTAGCCAAGTAACAAATATGTGGCATCATCCCAGAATATCCTATAATTAAGAAAAACAGAGAGGAGCCCTGGTGATACAGTGGGTCATGTGCTAGGTTATTAACCACAAGGTCAGCAGTTCAAATGGACCAGAGCTCTTGTGGGGAAAGATTGAGGCTTTTTGCTCCGCTAATTAATTATTGTCTTGGAAACTTGCGAAGGTAGCTTCACTCTGGCCACTGGTCACTGAGTCAGAATCAACCTGAAGGTAAGTGAGCTGAATTATTAAGAAGTAGGAAAGAAAATAAGGCATCTACCCAAACATTATGAGATTTTTATAAGATTCACTTTTCACATTTACTTCTTTATAGTATCCTTATAATCTGAAGATCCAAAGGACAGGGCACTGTTGTTCTCTGCTGGGAATTCTTAAAATGATGACTTCAATATCGGCTATAGGATCAAGGACACCGGGACAGACCAAGGATCCCACAGACATTGGAAAACTAATTTAAATCCTAGGGATGATAGAATAGGAAGGGGGGGAGGGGCACTATCATGTTTGCAAATGGTTGTCCTGCAAAATAAATCCGCCAAAGCCATTTAGTCCTTCCACAAATAGGTGGGATATGAATAGATGAGCAATTAATACCTAATAAAGATTCTTTGATTCTAACACTTCAAAATCCAATCTTTTTCTATGATAATGTATTGTTTTGTAGAAGCGACACAATTCCTTTAAAAGTAAGAAGTTAAAAAAGCCCCACAAATTTTAGAACTCATTTGAGTTTTAAGACTTAAAAGTGATGGTAATCTGAGATGCTCTAATCTTTCCAGTTGCTGGAAATTTGATAAATCTCTCTATATAAATTATAAAGAGAATACTGCTCAACAGACTTTTTTTAATTAAAAGATCATTTTATTGGGAGCTCTTACAATTCATAACAACCCATACATCAATTGTATCAAATATATTTGTACATATGTTGCCATTAGTATTTTCTAGACATTAACTTTATTTTTTTAATCGTTTTATTAGGGGCTCATACAACTCATATCACAATCCATACATACATCAATTGTGTAAAGCACATTTGTACATTCATGCTCAACAGACATTTTTTACTAGCTAAAATTTAACTATTTACCTTTTTATTGTGAATTAGGTGCAAGTTTTAAGAACAGTTCAGCTTTCAATTCTACAATTTACATGCATCTTGTTTTATATCACTGAGTACAATGACCACAATGTAAACCCATATATAGCCTACTTCCCCCGTGGTAGTTTCCATTCCTCCTCCTTTCCTAATCCCTCTAGACCCTGTCCTTCAGCAAATGCTGCCTTTTTGTATCTCAAGTGGCTCATTATTCTATGGTGTTCCTGTCCTCATTAGAGACCTGATTCATGTTGGGCAGAAACGGAGTGATGGGGGTGAACCCAGTTCCAGATCTCAAGAGTGACTGAGGTTGACAGTCTCATCAGAGATTTTCCCAGTCTTTGTCAGACCACTAAGTCTGGATGCTTGTGTTTGGGCAATTCCACATATTTCTCCCATGAGAACTTTCTAATATGTGATCCCTTTTCAGAGCAGACAGTAGTGGTGGCTGGGCACCATTTAGTTCCTAGGATTGTGAAGATTGATGTTTGCATTGTCTGTTATTCCAGTGAACTAGTTTTCCAGGGCAATTTTTTTTCACTCTTGGGAGTAAAGAATAAAAGCAATAGACCAGATACATAGCTACTCTATTGTTTGCTTTTAAGATATCAAGGGATATTTTTATCTTAAAGCTTAGAGATCATCTCAGGGAAATAATGTCAGGGTTTTACACAGCCTCCACAACTGTTACACAGTCTGAAGTCCATGATAACTTGAAATCATGTTCTGCATTTCCCCACCTTGTATCAGAATTTTTTTATACACTCTTTCATTAAAATGTTCAGTAATGATAACCAGGCACCATCCAATTCGTCTAGTTCCATGTGAAAGGAGGCCAGTTGTCCAGGAAAACTGGAGGAACAACTCAACACAGGAGGGTGAGGAAGCTTGTACGCAACTCTAAGAATGTGACTGCTGTCCTATAAGAAATCCAGGCTTAAAATAATAATTTATAATCGATCAGCGGGCCACGAAGGTTGGGGGAGGGAAAAAAGAGGCACTGATACCATGGACTCAATAGAAAGTAAATGTCTAGAAAAAGCAACACATGTACAAATATGCATAATACAATTGATGTATGGATTGTTATAAGAGTTGTTAGAGTAAAAAAAAAGTTAGAGTCCCCAATAAAATGATCTTGTAAATAAAAATAAAATCAGGAGGGGAAAAAAAGGAAATCTAGATTAGGTCAACTTAGAGACAGTAACTGGGTTATGGCTTCTTGGGGGCATGGTAGGGGAGACTGGGGGCAAATAAGGAGTTAATAACAAAATGTTGTAATAATGATTGTGGTAATGAATGTGTTAATAACTTCCTGATATAAATGAAATTCTGAATTGTATGATATGAAAATTATGTGCCAATAAACTACTTTTTAAGAGTTTAAAACAGAATTAGGTGCATAATAATCAATAAATGTTAGCTATAATCGTTAGTTCTAATATGTAAAATATACATATAAAAAGAATGCAATCAGTATAAGTGAATTATACATGTATAAAAAATATAGTGGTCTCTGCTATACACATATTCTCAACAATAAAAGAAAAGTACAGGAAAAGTGACAGAATGTGACAAGGCAGGGAATGGATAACTTAGCATTCAGGAAAATCAATTATATTGACATCTGGGCAGAGACCTTACTATGGGTTGATAGATGGATGAGAAGATGTGTTGGATTCCTCACACTAGTGGGGATCAGACATAGTTAGGAAATGAGTTTCTCTTGTATGACATTAATGAGGTGGTCCTTGTAAGAAGAGGAGAAACACAGACAAAGAAAAGAGAATAGAGGCAGCGCTTGGAGTCATGTTCCACTAGCTACGGTATGCCTGTGGCTACGCTACCAGAATCTGAAGAACATAGGAGACCCCTTCTCAAAGTTCCAGTGGGAACCTGATCTTGCTGATCAAATTTGGACTACTAATCTTCAAAACTGATATTGTTAAAAAAAAGTAAAAATGAAAAGCTATGGTGATCAAGAGTAGAACATTGGCAAACAGAAAAATGGACTAGAATAGACAAGGCTGAATTAAGATTATAAAATGTTTAGAGCATAATTCCAGACTTATACAGGCATCTGATCTGATAAAGACCCTAAATACAACTCAATAAAGGATCAACTTTTCAACAAAGGGTATCCGAACAATAGACATCCGTGTGCAAACCAATGTGAACTTGGATATACGATTAATATCATATACATAAAGGTAAAAATTAAGCAAATCTCACTGAGGTAGAGCTTTTACTTAAGTCTGTCATTTCAAAACAGCACTGACAAAACACAACACTCCTCTAGTTCAGCAGTTCTCAACCTGTGGGTCCCAACCCCTTTGGGAGGGGAGGGGGTTGTCAAACAACCCTTTCACAGGGGCAGCCCAATTCATAGCAGCAGCAAAATTACAGTTATCAAGTAGCAATGAAAATAATTTTATGGTTGGGAGGTCACCAGAGCATGGGGAACTGTATTAAAGGATTGTGGCATTAGGAAGGCTGAGAACCACTATTCTAGTTCTTTAACGCTTCCTTCCCCCAACTATCATGATGCCCAGTTCCATCTTACAAATCTGGATAGACCAGAGCATGTACACTGGTACAGATAAGAGCTCTCAACACACAGAATCTGGGACAGAAACTCCCTCAGGACCAATAATGAGTGTAGTGATACCATAAGGGCAGGGGGAAGGTGGGAGAAGGGGGGAACCAATCGCAATGATTGACACAGAAACTCACCCCCAGTCCCCCCTAGGGGGACGGACAACAGAAACATGGGTAAAAGAAGACAGCTGATGGTGTAAAATATGAAAATAAAAATAATTTAATTATCAAGGGAGGGTGGGAGAGGGAGGGGGTAAAAGAGGAGCTGATAATACCAAGGGCTCAAGTAGAAAGAAAATGTTTTAGAAATGATGATGGCAACATATGTCCAAATGGGCTCGATATAATTGATGTATGGATTGTAATAAGAGCTGTAAGAGCCCCCGATAAAATGATTTATTTAAAAAAATAAAATTAGTTATTTCACAATGACTATCTATTGCCACTAAATGGTAGAAATACTTATACTTAGCTCTTCTCATTCATTTAGTACACAATCATTTTAAATTTTCAATTACTCAGATACAGGGAATTTTAAACCTACAAATTAACATATACTGTATACTCGTGTACAAGCAGTTTTCCAGCACATTTTTAATGCAGTTTTTGTGGTATTCAGGTCAGCTGATCGTCAGGTCGGCTTATACTCAAGTATATAGGGTACTCTACTTGGCAAAATCTCATACTCCGATCACATCCACTGGCTGCTCCACGGGAGAGAGGTTCAGGTTATATGTACCATATATACCCCCTGTATATATATACACACACACACACACACACACACGTCTCTAGGTATTGAGATCAAACTGACAACCACAATCTCAGACTCACTGCTATGGGGCCAGTTTTGGCCTCAGTGACCCTGTAGGACTGGGTAGAACTGCATGCATGTGCATGCATGCATGTGTGTTATGTTTCTTTGAAAGAGTGAAAAACTAAAGGTGGAGACTTTTTATTATTCGAGCTAAATGGGACTCCCAAGAAAACTTCAGAGGACAATTTTGGTTCAAGATTGAAACATTTCCAACTAACAGATTGGGGAGACATTTCTTTAAAGAAAATCAAGTAATGACAGATAATGCCTTGGGGGAAATTCCCACCAATGTTCTACAAAAGCCTAACACATTACAACTGGTCTTCAACATGTCAAAGAACCACAGAGGCCAGACAGTTTTCCCCAGTGAACAATATTCAAGTTCTTGGCAACAGCCCCCAAGTTGTTAAGTGTCAATGGTTCCACAAAGCCTGCTTCATTTTAAAAGGCAGGGTACATAGAGTAGTTCTAGTGTTGTGACGTCCATGTTGCACCAATTGGCCTTCACTACAGTCCCAGAAAATGCCCTGCCTTTAGCTTTGGGGCCTATACTTGAATGGCAGCCTCTTAAATGTTATACACGTAAGTAATGATTTTTAGATCTCCACACAATCGGTAGAAGCTTTCCCCTGCTTCTGCATCGACAGCAATCTTTGTGGCAAAGAAATTTCTTGGAAACATCACATCCACAATTCTCACCAGGGAACTCAGTTCACCGGTCAAGTCATCTGAGGACCATGGTGAGTTTCCCATTTATCAAAAGCTACATTGTCCCTGCCAGTTTCAGTTTTATGATCTACAGACCCAAATGGCAAAGCTTTGGAAACTTTGCATTTATCCTAGACTAAGTCCTTTCCTCACTTCGCTTCTATATTTGTCTGAGATCCACATCATTGTGATCTCACAAACGTGCCCCTTCTGCAGTAACGTACTGGGAGACACATGTCTTTAATCTAATATTCTAAAGTATTTTTCAGGGGTTAGAGAAGACTGAGGAAGACAGAAACTAAACTCCTGATGTCTCCTTAACATCGACCCAGGAGATAGGTATATAGAATGAGATGTCAAATAAAACTACTTGGAAGGTACTATACTTAATCCTTCTCACCAAATCATGTGCAGCCGAATTAGAGAAAACAAACCCTTGGATCCATCTGTCACAGTTAAGAGGCTAAGACTCTATTGGGACTAGCCAACCCAGCATAGAGCTGAGGGTTACATATAAAAACCTGTTTCAACAGCTGATGGTAGTACCAGCCCTGAAAATGGACCTTTATCTTTGTACCTTTGTTACAGGTATGCCTCCCCTAACATTTCCCCTAGACTGTGCAGATGCTTATGCTCATCATTTTAAAAGGTGTAATTTGGGGAGATATGTGGTGTCCTCCCACCCTCAAGTCGGTCAGGCCTTCCCTGGTGGGTCTCTCCACCACAGGTTGTTCTTGATCTATGGATATAAGAACAGTGGAGAAATCATCCATTACCACAGGAAATCACTATTACTAGATTTTTCCACTGATAAATGGGAGCTTTATGGATCTGTACAAAATCCAGGCAGTAACTTGTTTTATTCTTAACACAAACAACCCCCAAAAGCATAGCTAAAGAAAATTTAAAACAAAAAATTCCCCCCCTAGACCCAAACAGCACTCTTTGTGTTGTAGATTCATATAAATAAGGACAGGACAGATTCTTATGGTTTATCACCCCAAACAGGGAGGTACAACCAGGTTGCTCTACTTGGCTAGGAACAATTTAATCACAGTCATCTACTACGGAGCTCTGGTAGTAGAGTGGACCACACACTGGGCTGCTAAATACAAGGTCTGAGGCTCCAAACCACCAGTGTTCAGCTGAAGCTCTCTCTGCTTCTATAGACTAACATCTTCAGAAAGCCAAAGGGGCAGTTCTGTCAGAAGGGTTGCTATGAGTAAGAATTGAATGCACAGCAACAAGTGTGGCGTCTTTTTCAGATAAACAATCCAGATGTCATCAGACTTATGAGATGGTTTCCAGTGTTCAAATGTGCTCTAGTAACGATAGTACAAGACATTGCTCAGGTTATCTATTAGGTAACCCCAACTGGCACCTTTTGGCAATGTGGAAGTCAACCTTTGATTCTAGAGTCTGAGAAAGCTGGAGAATTTTCAATATATTTTCCTGATCAGCTAATGTATTATTAAGGTAAGAGCTTGATCTCCACCAGTATTCCACTGGTCATTTAGAGGCAGCATTTGGATCTCATATAGGATGGACTTAAAGACACATGTACAAATGTATGATCTTAAATGATAATGTCCATGGGCTTCAAGAGATTAATACTGAAACAGTAACAATTAGAAAAGTACAGGATGGCCTTGAACATTCTCCCTGTAGCCCAACTCAGCACCTGTGCAAGATAAGATCTGTTAGCTGGCTGTGTTTATATATCTGGCAACGGGGCTCATATTACACTGTTATTCACATGCAATACATAGTACATTGCTTGTAACATCCTGTTCCTTTCTTAGATAGGATAAATGAGGAATGTGTTACTTAATATCCACAATATGCTGTGAAACAGAATGTTGTGATTTGATGGTGTGCAAAGAACACACATATATAGAACACATGTGTCTACACATCTGATACACAGATATCCAAGTAATCCCCTCACATGCTTCTCTGGCTCTCCATTAGCACCTGTAGCTTTAGGATCTGCCTACTTTTACCTGCAGTTAATTTAGCCTTGGCACCAGAAGACTGGTCAGAACTGGAATCCTGCAAAAGCAAAGTCAGCAGTGTAGCCAAGGTTTGCTTGCAGGCAGTGACCCACCAGGGTGACCCAACAGGTTAGTTACCACTAGAAACCATAATAAGGGGGTCTTGGCTACATACAACTCGCAGGTGGTAAGCTAAGCTGTGGTTTGAGAGGAGCATTTGAGGTAAGCCACAAACTCAGAGCTGGCTCCACTTCCTGGCATCCTTCCAGGAGAGCCCCTTCCACTCTGTGCTGTGAGTATAAATGTGAACAGACACCACCCCAATAATCATCATAAGGCACATGCCCGCAACTGATTTTCCTATTGGGGCGGGGCATGGAAAAAACGGCTCCTTTATTTGAGAATTTTTAAACTCTTTTGTCATTTCTAGTTCTGTAATTCTAAAATACTGTTTTAATTTTGTTCAATACATTCCATCCTTCACATAAAATTACACTACTTTCACTCATTTTCTTTAATCATTTACCTTTTGCCTTGCCAGGCATGTTTTATATTGATCTCTATCCTTCTACTCTGACTGAGAAATGTTCACCAAAAAACCTACTCACCCTGAAGGTGAGGCCTACTGATTGGCAAGGCAAAGTAAGAATAACCTTTGTGAGCTCCTCAGAAAACAAAGTCCTTGCAGAAAAAAGGCTCTCTCATCAGCGACCCCTATCAAGGCTTGACTAAAATGTGGAAAATTTCAAACATGGAAGCACATTTCCTCCCTGGACAGAAATGGCAGGATCAACATGCATTCCTAGGCAACTAAAAGTCAGGATATAAACAACTCATTCCTGGGAAGAATGTTGGCATTCCTTTAAAGTTGGATACAAACAAATTATTTCACCAGTCAGATAAAAAGAGCTGTTATCAAATGCAAATTGTTGTTTTTGAAATTTTATGATTTTAAAGAATGTTTTCTAACCCAAAGATTCCAAAAACACAGTTTCTGGAGTAGTCTCATCACCCTTTGCTGAGCACTCCAAGAGCTGGCTGAGGACTGATCCACCCAGCAGTGGAATGCTATTTTCACAGGGGAAGCATAAGTTTACCTGTTTTGGATCTGGTTTCCTGTGAATTTTATGTATTTCGTTTTTTCCATTAGTTTTGTGATTAGTGTATCGATGATCACTTTCTGGTTCTGAAAAGCTTCTTCTATAAATTGATATCTGAAGAAGTAAATAAACATATCAGTTTCACAATCTGTGTCAAATGAGCAGAAAAACTCAAAAGTAGCAAAGGTTCATAAAAAATACTTTATTAAAACTTTGAAGAATAATGATCTATAAAAAATAGCAAAAATATACTTTGCAAGGCATATTTTCCCCTTTCCAAGTTATCCCTTAGATTAAAAAACCTTTTCAATTTACATTATTTTTCGGATATACTTCAAATTGAGGGTTTGCAAGAGACACACCACAACTCTGCATTGCTTAGCAGTCTCACTTGGCCAAAGTGGCAAAAATAGTAAACGGTTTTAAAGATTTATTAGTAATTTAAAATAGCCTATTGGCTCAGTTGTGAGGCACTTAAATACTAACCAGAAGGTTGGCATTTGAAACCACCAGCCATCCTGAGGTAGGAAAATGTGGCGGCCAGTTCCCATAAAGATTACAACCTTGGACACCCGGGGGGCAGTTTTACTCGGCACTGTACGATCACTAGGAGTTAGAATCGACTACACAGCATCAGCATTTTGACTATAATTTTAAGGTTTTAGCAGTCTGACACTATATATATTTTAAAGGTCACTTTTAAAAACAACACACAAATATATTATAGAGGTCTCAATTATATGCCTCTGTGACAAAAGAACGTCCTAACATTGTTCCTTGAAAGGAAGTTTTAGGCAACACTATCAGAAGATGTGACAGTGGGTCTTTGTTTGATTCCTTTACATGAAGTGAAGACAGATGCTGTGATATGAAAACTATACAGGATGACTCGGAAGGTCTAGGCAAGGAAGACAGTATGTAGAAGACGCAGTTTTATGGCTTTATTTCCATAATACACACAGAAGATGACATTCCTAAGTTAATACATTCACACACATGGCTTTTAAATATGCAAGTGTGGGGAAAGGGAACATTAAAACTAATTGTGATGATGTATATACAACTCTTTAAAAAAGGACTTTAATTATGGTAGTGTATGATACGTGACTTTAACAAGAACAGTACTTTAAAAAAAGGAAAGAAACCAAACTTGACCAACGGTTACCATGAGTGAAGAAGGGCACTTTGCTTAGAAGGGACTGAGTTTGTGTTAGTGGTGGTAGAATAATTTGGAAATGGATATCAATAATTGTACAACATCAAGAGTATAATCAATGACACATGTAGAAGTGGAATTGGAGAATGCTTTGTTGTGTATATTTTTGCCACAACTAAAAAAATAATTACACAAATAACAGTGAGTACCAGGGGAAAATGTTCTAACACTGATTGTGAAAATGTACAACTCTTCCCCGCCACACACATTTTTAACCTTTTATTGTACAGCTCTTCATGATGTGACTGAACTACTGAATTATTTATGTGGATGAAGTGTCGATAAAACTGGTTAGAAAAAAAGAAATATTTAAGTATAATAAAATAAGTATAGGCAGGATTGCCAGTATTCCACTATTATGCTTTCTAGTTCTTTCCATTAACAATCTTTAAAAGATTAAGGAAATCCCCTATTATTTTTTCAGTTTGCTAAGATTTTATATCATGGCTGGATAACTTTTATTGAATATTTTTTTCAGCCTCTATTGAATGGTCACATAGTTTTCCCCTTTATTCTTTTAATATGGTGAATTACATGATTTTAAAATCTAAATGAATTTTGCATTTCTAAAATGATACCAACTCGACTCTGATCATGGTGTCCAAAAATTATAATAGGTTATTAGATTCTGTTCTTTAATGTTTTGTTTTGTTTTACATGAATTTCAAAAGTGAGGCTCTCCTGTAATTTTCATTTTCATAGTATCTTTCCTCTTCACTTCTGGGTGTCAATGTTCTGCTAGCTCCAAAACACAAGCGAGGGGAAATTCATCCTTTTACTATTCTCTGGAAAAGTGAGTGGAGTGAAATACTATTTTTTACTGTTAACTATTTGGCACACTGTTAGTGATGCCAAGAAACTGACTCCAATAACTTTTTCATGTCCCCTGGTATGTAACCTTGCCTTTGTGTATGGGCACTTAGAAAAGCATGTATGAGAAGAATGTGTTATTATTGGGTACTGGTCTATTAGATTAAGGTGGCCAAGTGCAGTTTTCTATTTAGTTATACAATTTTTCTTTATATTTTTTAAAGTTAAACTCCCCAAACTCACTGCCATTAAGTTGATGCCAACTCACAGCAACCCTATAGGATAAGGTAGAGGAACTACCTCTGTGAGTTTCCAGGACTTTAACTTTGTACAGGAGTGGAAAGCCTCATCTTTTCCAGCAGACCGGCTAATGGTTTTGAACTGCCAACCTTGTAGTTAGCAGCCCAATGCATGACCACTATACCAACAGCACTATTTTAAGGCAATGATGTATATACACTTAGAACTATTACATCTTTTAGATGAAGAGAGCCTTTTATGGTTGAGACGTCTCCTCTTTTTAGCTCTAAGTGTGGTGTGTTTTACCTTACAGGTCCATTTTCAACCCTACTAAATATTTAGATTTAAGGATTTCTCTTTTAAAAAGTATGTATGAGAAGAATGCGTTATTATTGGGTACACACATAAAACCTATCTTTTAATTTGGAACTTTGTCCATTAACAAGTATTATAATCACTAATATACTTGCATACCTGCCAATTTACAGTCTTTAATATATTCTACTTCCTGTTTCTCACACTTTTATTGGCCTGTGTTTAGAATGCTTATACTTAATTATTCCAATTCCCTCCTGTTACTTGGATAATTGTATACATTTGTCTGAAAAAGTCACACCCTACTGTAAAGATGGCTCAAATCCACTGAAATAAATACTGACATGAAATTGTTAGGATCCAGTGATATAAAAGGTTCCTTTAAAAAAAAAAAAAAGACCAAGTTTTCATATTATGAAATCTCTTTATATTAAAACACTGGAGACTAACTCCATGCAACTGAAAACCTGGTGTAGACCAGCTGTTCTCCAATGGGGTTGATTTTGTTCCCTGGGATATGGCAATGTGACATTTGTGGCATCTAGGCTGTAGTATCCAGAATAATGCCACTAATCATCCAGTAATGGCTGGACGACAGAAACAAAGGGTGATGTAGTTTAACATGTCAACTGTGCCGATACTGCTGGCCAGTCTCCTAGCCCCGGTCCTGCTGCATTCGGGATCTTTCACTACAGATCTAAAGGCGCGGGTACCTATGCTCTTTATGTTCTAGTAACTGGCAATCCCGACAGGTCAGTTTGTCACAAGTCTCACAGTAAAGCTTCAACTGCTCCTTTTTATGAAAAGGACAAAACACTGGTCGTTGACTGGTCACACCAACAGCCTCTGTAGAAACAAAGAGTGCCAGAGAAAAGAAATTAACATAATCGAATAGTAAGTATCTAAACTGTCCGTTTAAATTCAAAACTCATTAAGATGTAAAAAAGCACAAGCAGTTTCATCTGCAGAACAATTACAACTCAATTCACAGATAAAAATGTTAAGTGAGCACTTCAGCATTTTGGAAGGAAAAGCCAAGGGAGCTTTCGGGATTGTTTTCACATCCAAGAGAAGTCAGGAAGGAGTGAAAGCCCCAGGAAAGGGTGCTGCTCACAAGAGGTTTATGAAGAGTGAGTATCAATCATGTGGACGTCCTCAGAACTCAAAGTGAGATTGTTGTTGGCTGGTTTGGTTTTGTTTTTAATGCAAGCCAGATAATCTAATCAAATGTATGAAAGGGATAATGAAAATATTACTTATTCCAAGTCTTCAAGGAGCACATCCATTATCACAGAAATAATCCGTTTTTACTATCATAGAGTTCAGTAGTTTTTCTGGATCAGAAACATCTGGGAAATAATTATGTTGCAATGTGATATGGATAAAGTGGCATATAAGCTTGTTATCTCACCAAGTTAAAGGTGAAGTCAGGTTGAACTGGGTCCCCCAATAGTGTGCGTCAACAAAACGAGGCAGGATCCTAGTCTTGGGATCTAATGTATTTAACCTCCGTTTTGTGCGTTTCAGTATGTGGGGATATTCCATTCTTCCACAAACTCTTTAAAGCTTCCTCATACAAGCCGGTTAACAAAGCAGTGTTAATGTGTGGTGTTTCTTGACTCAGCCTTGCAAGAAGGTGTTACTGGAATCTTCCAAAGCACCAGGGTCTCTGAGGTTTCAAAGGGTGGCGTCAAAGTTTTGAAGCATTGGATCTTCTTTCAGCTGGGTTCCAGATCCAGAATGTGGGGCTGTCATTAGGTGTGCCAGAGGTGCCCAGTCTGTGAGGGCAGGGTTTACCAGGGAGGTGAAAATGTCAGGGATTGAAACATATCCTCCAAAAATATGTCAACTTGGGAGACCAGGAATTTCAGTATTGTGTAATTGTTAAACACTGTGGTCTGATATTATCCCCCATTTTATGTGCCATAAATCCTAAGTTGTCTATGTTAATGATAATGATAAGATTATCAAAGCACGGCCTGTTAACCAGTCATACAAGCGGGTATGACTAAAGGTCCAATACTTGATTGAGACACCTTTTATCATGCAAGAGATTAAAAGAGAGGAGAACCTTTGGTTTTCCATCATGCTTAATTATTCAATTTCTATGATCATAAATTCAAGCAAGGCACCCTTTTCTAACCTTCTAATTTGTGTTACTGTTGTCACCATACCTCAGACAGCGCCACTCCTTAGCCACTCCTTTCAGGCTGTCAACTAATACTCTCCCCTCCATTTCTCCTTTCTCCAGTAAATCTGAGAACCTGACATTTTGCATATGCCATCATCTCCACTTCTTATCTGCTGTCCAGCCCTAGCGCAGACTAACACATCTCAAGACCCATCCCAGGCTGCTGGAGAAAAAAGCGAATGGCTTAAATTTCAGGTGTTACCATAATGTTACCAATTTGTCTGTTTCTGGAGCTGGGATCGCGTGATTTTATATAAGGCTGCTAAATCTAATCAGCAGTTTGAAACCACCAGCCACTCCTTGGGAGAAAGATGAGGCTATCTACTCTTGCAGGGAGGTACAGTCCAGAAAATCCACAGGGGCAGTTCTACCCTGTTCTACAGGCTCGCTGTAAGTTGGCATCGACGGAATAGTAGTGAGAGCTTGTTTTTCAGTTGTTAAACGTTTGATGTTCTTTCCTCCGCTCTCATTTTCAATGGAGCCATCTTTCACAGAGCTACAAATGACTTTCTAGAATTAACCTGTTAAACCTGCGTCCACACCAGGCCTTTTCTCCTCCACTATCCTCTGAAGGGACGGCCTATTTTCTGTGTCTCTAGCAACCCATTCTCCAGCCACACCCAACTTTTAGTCCTTACACAGCTGCTTGGCTTCACTTTCTCACCTTTTCATCCCTAGCACTAGGGACGTTTCTGGAATGTAAAGCACACAAATACTAGCTGACTCAGTGAATTAAAAAAAAGTAATAATGCGTAGGCAAAAATACATGAATTGAATTTTACATTAAAAAGAACCCACCAGAATAGAGGGGCATGAACAACAGAAATGTATGTGAATGGACATGTTGGATGATGTAAGGTATGGCATAAATAAATAATAAGGCTTCCTGAGAGATAGGGTGGGGGATAAAGGGCAGCTGATAAAGTACTTCAAGAAGAAAGAAAATGTTCTGAAAATGATAGTGGTAGCAATTGTACAATACTGCTTGATGTGATGGTACTATGAGATGCTGTTATCTGAAAGAGCTCCAAATAAAATCATAATAAAAGAAAAAACAACAGAATAGAAACTCAAATGACAATAAAGCAAAGCTCCTTTGCTCGTCGATGTAAGATAAACACCATGAAACATGTTTACTACATGAATAGTGACAGGAAGGATTTTAACACTTTTACAAACTTTTACACCTAGTCATCTTAAGAGATAAGGAGAAAAGAATGAAACTTGTAAGGAACTGTTTCCCCACTTGCTGTGCAATTGCTCCAGGTTCAGGTGTTCACCGCAGCAAGAAGGGCTGTGAGGATCAGGAAAAGGAGGAAGACTCAGATCTACTCCCTTACCTTCACCAATATTTGCTTAAGTATTCACATTTTACCTACAGTGTAAAATTCCCTGAATTTAACAAAACAAAAAGCAAAGGTGAGTTTAATGCTGACAAATGTTGCTATGGCTCTTCTATCCATTCTTTTTAACCCTCACCCACTTACTGGGTGAAGGTATGCCATCAGACGTTAGACAGTTCTCAGGCCACTCTGCTGGATATCAGAGTGAGCCATCTGAGAAGCAAGAACAGAGAATGCCATGACCACCAGGAAAGAATGGCCACCAACAGAGCATGGGCGAGATCCCTGCGTGAAGCAGGGCTGGGGTAGCAGAGGCAACAGGAGCTACAGCACCAAGACCAAGAGACACAGCTCTGGGCTTCCCAGGCCACAGACTGAGCTGAGAAAGCTGAGTGCTTTGGAGCAGGAAGATGGCCTGCAGAGCAGGGTGCCCATTAGACATTTATCAATGCTAAAGAAGAATTGTAACACTTGCTTAAGCAAAGCAAAGGCCAAGGGGTTGCATGGCTGAGAGGCTGATGACCACAAAAAAAATGTGGCTGCCGGCATAGCTGAGAAGTGCTGCAAACCAAAAAAACATGCATCCTTAATATCTTGATTCCAACCCATGTAACTGTTCACTTCCTCCCAATAAACCCTGTCATTGTGAGACTTGTCTGTGAGTTCTGTGTAGTTAATGCACGGGATTACTGAACCCTGCAAAGAAGGAGGGTGCCATGGGAGGGGTGGCTGGTGTCAGCACAGGGTCAAGAACGATGGAGGCTGGAGACATGTCTGGCCTCTGCTTCCTAGGTATCATTCTTGGGTACATACGGAATTGGACTTCCTTCCCTCTTGTGTAACCGCAGGTCATGGCAGCATGTCCTCACAAACCACTTCAGCAAAGAAGAAAAGCAGGTGGGAGGAAAGAAAACGTGTCAACTTCTTACCCGGAGATACCTCCTCTTTCTGTCTGACGGTGTGGTCTTTGGTGAACTTAACCCTCTGATGGGCTCTGATGCAGGTCTTGCAGAGCCACTCCACACACTCCACACAAAAGCCATTTGCCTCCGCATTGTCCTCACAGCTTGTACATACCTGGTCATAAAGGAAGTGCCACAGGAGATGAGGACAGTCATATGCAACTCTACCAGTTATCTTCTTCACAGTGTTCACTGTTTAACAGGCGTTACGGGTTAAGATTTTACACAGATGACATTTGTACTATTTATGGTATAAATATATTATCATATACTATATAAACATATATATGTTTACACAGCCTATTTCATACATGCATGCATCAAATGTAAATCCTGTGCATGTTGTTAGGTGTTGCTGAGTAGCTTTTCTGACGCATAGTGACCTGATGTACAAAAGAACGAAATAAGGCCCAGGCCTGAACCAGACTCACAATTACTGTTATGCCTAACTCCATTGTTGCTTTCACTGTTGCCATTGTGTCTTGCGGAGTGTGGTACGTACATAATATGATGTCTATTGAGACTATTAAAAGTGAAGGGGTGGAATTTAGCCTGTCAATCAGGTTGCAGCTTGATTTGGAGGTGTGAAAGAGATAAATAGCTCACTGGAGGCCAGGTACACTCTGTTTCTTCTCCTTGTGAGACATTCCTGTTGACAACCACATGCAGCTGCACTGATGGAGTCAGAACCCTGGAGCTGGAGGAGCCACGTGGAAACCCACCCAGCACTGAGATGCTTCTACCACCACTGGATGCACAAGACTTCCCACAAACTGGCCTGTGATCTTCCTGCATTTGATACTTATAGACCGGTATCGGACATATGGGCTAATATCGGACTTAATGGATTTGATCTGGACTGGACTGGGATGTTTTCTTAATATTCAATACTCCTTGATATAAAGCTCTTTCTTAGACATATGAGTGTCTATGAATCTGTTCCTTTAGTCCACCCAGACTAATGCATGAAGAGTAACAATTTAGGTACATTTCTGCCTTAGTTCAACACTCCAGGTAGTCTAGGCACTGTGTTAAGTGTTAAGGATATACTCATCAGAAAAAGGAGATACCATGGAGACTCAGTGTCAGGATTGGCCTGGTCTGACACCGAGGCAAAACACTAAAGGCGTGCGGCAGAGCAATGGGGGGAGCAGCGCAGGGAGCAGACGAGGGAGTGTAAAGAATAGACTTTGGGGCCAGAGCGTGGCACCCCATTGACTTGACTGGAGGACGCCTAGAGGTCAAAAATCAGACCTTGATCTATTTATAGGTTTTTCTTTCTTTTTAAAATTATTTTTAAAAAGTTTTCCCTTTTTAAAAAATCAACTTTTTTCTTTTCTGGGTCATTGGTTTTCTTTGTTGTTGTCATCATTGTGTTCTCTTTTGTCGCCTGTCTTGCTATGCCTTGTTTTTTGGTGCGTATTATTATCTCTGCAGATATATCTAGCTAAGATAGGCTGGAGGGGCAGTCTGGAGGAGAAAACAATGGAATCGATGGTTCCAGGAGGACATGGGAGAGGGGGAAGCAGGGGAAAAGATGTGGTGTTGATCAACCCAGGAACAAGGGAACAACAAATGATCAAAAATTAGTGGCAAGGAGGGTGTGAGAGGCCTGGTAGGGATTCAGCAAGGGCAATTTAACCGACAGAAATT